GCCTACTTGATATCTCTTAAGGTGTACATATGTGAAGAACCTTGAAGAAATAATAAAATTCATTCGAGCAACAAAAACACAGTGTATGATGATGAAAAATACATTTATTTTTTAATGTATACATGTACACTGATAGTCTGATAGAAAGTTTATGACTCCGTTTGATATTATCAGTGGGACTTTTGCTGCTGCATCACTGATGACAGAGATTTTACATCAGGTTTATATTTCGTGACCTTCAGAGATATGCACGAGCTACTACTTTCATCTGTCAGGCTACTCCTATTAGGAGACTTAACAAAATTCATCACTGAGAACAAAGATTCACAAGCATATGTGGATGAAACCAAAACACTGGTCGGATCTAGGAAGGCAGGGAGAGTTAAGGTAGAGGCATAGAAATTGCTCTTCCCCTCTCTCGTCAATCCATGTCTATGGTCTTTAAGATAACTTGTTTTGTAAAATTATTTATCTAAGATTCACCTACACTGAGTTTATCTGAAAAAATTAAAAAGTCAATATTAAGAAAAAATTGTAAATGGAAGATTATAAGAGAGGGTTTCGCATGCCAGCAAAAGTTACTGGCGTGCCATGTTTGGCACGCGTGCCAGGGGTTGCCCACCCCTGGTCTAGATGAACTGGAGCCTCAAAAATTAACCATAATAATTTGCATACTGTCACTAATCTCAAAATGGTACCAGCCAGAGTTTAGAGTCTCAAGACAGTCCCACTACTTAGTAGTAACTCAAGATGGGCAGAAAAGGCCTTGGAGACAGATGAGAGGTGAGCTCAGGATTCCAGAAACTTCGGCCTCTTCCCTCCTCCTTCCACAGACACCTGGGCTTTGCCTTCCCCTCTGCTGTCCCACCCCCAAGATTAACCCTGTGAATCCGACCTAACAGATCCCCTCTGGTTAATCATGACAGTAGCTAATGCTACTGTCCTTTATTCCTCACCAGGACCCTATGGTTATCCCACTTTATAGGTGGGGAAACTGAGGCATGGGAGGTTATGTCATTTGCTCAAGGTTACCCAGCTAATAAGTGTCAGAGTTAGGATTTGAACCCAGACACCTCACCCCACCCCTAACCACCACGCTGCCTCTTTCAACATGGAATAGCTCCGGTGGAGGAGGTACAGATAATCCAAAAGAGAGGAATATCCAAAATTCTTGTGCATGTGAAATACATCATATGATACTTTTGCCTCAATTTGGTCTACATTATCTCAGCCCACGTCAGCCCGTGAGTGGAGGGCCAGCGGCATGAGGGAGAATGTGTTACCCCTGGGGTATGAGCAATCGCAGGGGTGCTGCTGCTTAGCCTGGAGGGGAGAGCACAAGACCTCCTGAGGATGGCCAAAGGAGAGCCCATCTTGAAAGGGGACATCTACTGATTCTGCAGGGTCTAGGGATTGCAAGGAAAAGACTTCCAACCCTGAAAGCACCATCCCATCTGGGCGATCAGGCCTGCATGGCTCTGAGGAGCTGGACACGAAGAGGTTTGGTTTACCATTCAGGGAGAGCCAGGAAAACCTGTCCCTAACCCTGGTGTCTTCCCTGCCATTTGGGACCTGTCACCAGGGAAAGAAGGAGTGGCAGGTATAAGAGAAAAAACACCTATGATTTTTTTCATCCTCTTTCTTCCATTATACCCCCGAAATCCACATTTCCAATGGTTTCCAGCAAATAAGGAAGTGGGCAAAACAGGTGTGCGGGGGTGGGTTAGGGTAGGGGGGAATAGGAGAATGGGAAAGAGAGCATAACAGAGCACTAAGCTCTCACACTCCAGAGAGTTTAGGGGAAAAGTAATTCTCCCAGGCCCTGCCTGCTTAGGGGTTTGGCCAGTGTCCCCCTTGGACACCTGTTGACCTAATGGGGGCATTGGGCCTTGTTTCTAGTAGTGGGTGGGAATAGGTGGGAGGAAGGGACAACTGAAAGAGTGGGAGGAGGAGGCTGACCTAAACGCTGGATCTGAAGGGGTCTTCAGGGTCCACTTGGGAAGGTTGATGGGCTGTGGGACAGTGGGAAGGTGGGTGGAAGGGTCAGGGTTAAAAGCTGCCTCTTAAAGGGATCCTGTCAACAACCTCCCACCCACAAACATGGTCCCCCAACCATGGCATTCTGGCTACATGCAAAAAATCTCCTCAGGGCTGGTTCCCCAGGAACCCTTGGCGACAAGGGCATGGCTGGTTTCTGCAGCCAGTGGAGGCCCAGGCACTGGGCCTACCAAGTAGCTTGCCATAGACCAGAGAAGTCATTCAGAAGCCTCCAGCAGCACAGCCTGATGAGGGCAAGGGCAAGGGCAAGGCATGAGTCATGAATCTCCAGAGCCCAGCCAACCCAGTAGCAGGCAGCCATGAAGCTGTGGAAGCAGCCGTGGTCCAGGAGGAATTGACTGTGGTGTTTCCTTCCATGTGCACATGCACATAGAGACCCAGGAGACGTGGTGACAGGTGATGCACACCCAGGAGGTTGACAGGGTCCCTTTAGGTCTGGGCCCCACCCCTGGTGCTCCCAGCTGATTAACCTGTGTGTTAACCTCGCCTTTGCCTTTTTGCTGCCTCTCTTCCTTTCCCTTTTCTCCTCTCAGAGATGTTGCAGACCAAGGCCAACTTACCCATTTTGTTTCAGGTCTCTCATGGATGAAAGACTCTAATCATCCTCCTTTCTTGAGCCCTGAGCCTTCTGCCTTCCTCCCTCTCCTCCTGTCCCCACTCCCAAATCGTGTTTTGTTACCACGTTTTCTAGGCTGGATGCAGAACATCCTGGACTCTGCTCTCGTTCCTGTTTCTCTCCTTTCTCTCCCTTGACCTTCTCCCCTTCCCTTCTGAAATAGCTCTACCCACAAAGATGGTGTTCCTATCTAGAGATATCCCCCAATGTTTTCCAAATTCTAATTTTAAAACATATGCATCTTTATAGTCCATTTGAGGCCTTCACTCTTTACCTTCCTCCCTTCAAAATCAGCCCTCTCCATTTGCCCTGAGAATGACATCTGAGAACCTGGGAGGGAATGGGTTGTTTCCTGCTCATAACATCTGATTTAAATGAGAGAGAGAGGCCCCTCTCTGCCTCAAAGGGTCTAGCATGATCAGAAAAATATTCTGGGAAGCCAACAAGAGAGCCATGTATTCAGGCTGACCCTCACCTAACCCATGCCCTGGCCAACCTCTGCTTCCCCAGCCTGGCTGTGCAAAGTCTCCACAGTGGCACTTCTGTTTTCTTTTGGCAGAAATGCCTGGGAACCAAGAGGCCCCTTTCCCTGTGACCTGACCTCCCATACTAAGAATAACAGCCCTAGGACAGCGTGTCTTGCGATCCCTCTGGAAAGAGGGCATGGCTGGGAAGTGGGGAAGTTAAGGGAGCTGGATAGAGCCAGGAGGAAATGGAAGACACTGACGTATGGCTCTTGTGAGTAAAAAATAAAAAGGGAGAGTTGGCAGCCTTCTAGAAGGCTGGGGAGAGAGACCTGGGAAACTCTCAGGAGAACTTCAGTGCTTCCAGACCCACTCGCCAGGCTCTGGAATTCCATCTCCCGGAAGCCCCAACTGGCGGCTAGAGAATAGGAAAGGTCTGGTCCTGCTCAGCAAATGTTCTCCAGTCCTGTTTTGTCCCCTTTGCAGACATTTATTTAAAAACTAAAAGATCAAATGTCCTTTTTTAAAGAAGACAAATGTCTTTAGTACTAGCTCCTTTCCACTCCATGGGAAATGTGGCTGTCCTGTTCCTAGGGTTTCCTCACCTATGAGCAGATGTCCGTGTGGTCACAGCACTGCCCTCTAAATCCCTCACCTCACAGATAGGCAAATGGCCCACCCAGGACTCCTGGAATCCTCTAGGGAACCTGGGACCTGCCTATCCCTTGGTTGGCCAGTTGTCCAAGTACCTTAAAGTCTTGGTTCCTGGGTTGATGCTCAACCACTGAGCAATACCAGCCAGATAAGTCTTGCAAAAAAAATTTATCTCTTTCCTTTTCTAAATATGGTGGAGGTGAAATTCCATAGGTACAGGGTAAAGTGGTAAAAGCAGGACACTGTCCTTCCTCTTCTGTGCCAGAATCTCTCCTTCCTAAGAATCCTGTTCCCTTCCATACTCTCTATCCAGACCACCCCTATCAGCCCAGTTCTCAGGAAAGGCTTTGATAACTTCATTCACTTTGGTGGCACCTGCATTTCAGCAGGACCCTATAGCAGAACGGCAGTGTTGGGGCAGGATCCTGGGCAGGTGTAGCTTAGGAGAGCATTGTCTAGGGCCATGTCCTGTGCTCCCCAACTATGAGACCTACCTGCACTATGTCTCCTTTCAGCCAGGAAAGCCTTTGCCATGGCACAGCTGCCCCTGAAAATTCTTGGGCACATCCAGAGCTGGAACAAGGTGACCCTCATTCTAGCTGCATAAAGTCCAGCTTTTTATAGACATTGTTTTAATGACGTGGTCCCCTTGTCATTGCTGAACTTTACATGAGGCACCTCCGAGCTCAGATGACCTGGCCACCCTTCTGGATCACACTGACCGTTTCTCTTTAGCTCCCAGATCACCCATGGGACCACAGCCCATTCTCCTCTAAGGGGTCACCCAGCTGTGGTCCCCCCCCACCTCCAGACAGGCCCTTCTGATGAAGAGAACCAGGGACATGGGAGTTGCTAAATGTGGACTGAAAAGAGAGTCCAGCCACATCCCTGCACCATGGCAGCTTGTGCTACCTGGCCCCAGGCCCTGCTGGGAAGTAGAGAGGGCCTCTGTGCAGGAGGGTGGTGAAGCGGGATGGTCTGGAGGAAGGGGAGCCGTGTGGCCATGGGGAGGCAGGGCAGGAGGATTGGACTAGCCGCCTCCTGGCACCTCCTTTTCCCCTGGGCTCCTGGGCTCTGAGAGGGTGTTTGGAACTCCAGCAGCAACACTGAGGTGCCGGAACGGTGATTCTGATGGTGATTGTTGCTCTGTTCTTGTCTGTCTAATATTCCTTTTTAATCCCCATCCTGCCTGCCCCTCCCTTATGTAGGGTTACTTTAGTGATCCCTGGAATGTTTTTGACTTCCTCATCGTAATTGGCAGCATAATTGACGTCATTCTCAGTGAAACTAATGTGAGTATGACTCTGCCCTCCCCAGGAACCTTCTCCTTCCTCTTCTTCTGCCTACTGTTTCCCTCTCACTCTCTCTCTCTTTACCTCCTTTTATTTATTTGTTTTAATTTCCTGTTTTTACCCCCCTCCAGTCATGCTTTTTATTGAACCTGCCGTCGTCCTGTGAGGGAAAAAAAGTGGGAGCCTCTCCTCCTTTTTTTCCACCAGTCCCAGCTCAGCCCTGTGTGCCAGGCCCAGGGGCTTGGCCGAGTGGAGGGAGCAGGCGGTGGGCGGCCGCCAGCTCCCCTCCCAAGTGGCCACAGCCCGGCGTAACCTTTGAACTAACCCAGCTTTTGTCAGGCCTCTCCACCCTGCGAAAACCAGGTGACCCAGGTTTGAGCCACCAGGACTGTAGAGTGGTAAGAGAGTATTTACTATGCCCACGTAACCTCTTTCTTTTCTCATTTTTTTCTCTTCTCTCCTTTCTTTCATGCTTTGTTTTGTTTTGTTTTGTTTTTCCTCTTCCTTTTTGTTTTGTTTTTCTCCTTTGTTGTTGGTTTTTTTTTTTTTTTCTTCTCTCTCTCCTTTCCTCGGCTTCTCTGCCCCATGCAGCACTATTTCTGTGATGCATGGAATACGTTTGACGCCTTGATTGTTGTGGGTAGCATTGTTGATATAGCAATCACCGAGGTAAACGTAAGTACATGGCGTCTGGACCTGACTGTCCGTGCCTGCTCTAATACTCATTGTCTTTCCCCAGTTTATTGTTTTTCTTCCTCTTTTCTCCTCCCCACCTCCTTATTTTCATTTCCTGGTTTTCATTTGTTTGTTTATATTGGTTTAAAGGATTTTTTTCTTGTTGCTTTATTTTGAAAATGTTTTTATGATTTATTTAACCTTGGAACGAGTTAGGCCTCCCTTTCCTTTAAGTTTTGATTGCTGCATCCTTTTCTCTCTCCCTTTACTCTCAGCCTGGCATGACTCACACTGTATAGGAGGATGCAGCTATGGGGAGCACGGAGTGAAAAAACAAGGGACATTTGCAACTTCTGGGCAGCTGCTGGGGCAGGGACCCAAACCTCTTTTCACTCCACCTCACCTCCAGACCTCTGCCTCTCCCCCTCTCGCCTTTCCACCCACAGCATCCTGGAAAGGAGCTCTCTCCAAGTGAGACGCTGGACTAAGGCTTGGTCTTCGCCTGCATTGTCAGCCCAAGGCCTGGCCCATTACATTCACACTGAAAGGGCTTTGTCCGATTTAACATCAGCAGCCCATGCAGGCAGCCCGGCCCGCCCAGGCCCATTTGGGAGAGAAGCAGAGAACTGGTCATGTTCAGAGCCCTGCCCTGCTTGCACCCCTCTTCCCTGGAGTGGCCAAAGAGCCAGGTGGCTGGTGACCCACCAAGAGAGAGCTCTTCTGAGGTCTTTCCTCCCTCTTGCTGGGGCAGCAGCACCTCTCTCCCCACATGGAACCCACCCAGGGAACGGACTCTTGTACCCGCCTGGTTCTCTCCCACTCCCGCCCCCACACCCTGCCCTGGCTCCCTGGCCTCAGACAGAACTCCAGCCCCTGCACTCCGAGGCCTCCTGCCGCCTTCCCTGAGAGTTGCCTCCTCCTATACAGCTCCTACCAGTTCCTGCACATGTCTCTTTGTTACCTGGCATGTTTAAACCTTCTCTTTATCTATAGGCAAGCCCTCTTACAGTTAGTCTTTAACATGTGTTAATCTTTTGTCATAATTTTTCCTTAATTAAGAGACTTGGTAATGTTTGCACAAATCTTTGATGCACTGAACCATGAATAACAGCATGGAGCAGATGCTGTCCAGTTTTGATCAAAGATGTTTAAAACTGCCCTACCAACTGCCACCATCTCCCCACTGTGTCCCACACCCCCTCTCCCTCCATACTTTGCTCCCCATCAGTTGAACTGACTTGTCATTTTATCTGCCTGATTCCCCTGATGAAAGCCCCTGTCTGCCCCCTCCCAGCAGATGGACATTGAAGGAGGCTGTCACGCTTCCCATACCCGCCCTCAGCCCCTAGCACCCTCCCCACTCACCCGTAGCTCCAGATTTGGTTGCCTCTCTGTCTCCCAGATCCCCCGAGTTGTCTTTGTCTCATGTGTGTATGTGTGTGTATGTGTGTGTATGTGTGTACACTTGCCCTTGACTTCTTCCAGTGAATGATAGATTATATTTTTTAAAAAACAGCCTTCCTACACATGCTTTGTGCCCCCTCCCCTCATACTCTGCCTCACCCCTCCTGAGCTCACTCCCAGTTCTGCAGGCTGGATGACCCAAGTTGTATCTCAGATGCTATTCAGAGCCACGAGTTGGTCATGTGTCTGTAAAGGCCAGAGCTTCAGGCTCGGAGCTGGCGCTGAACTGAGGGCAAACTCAGGAGAGGACAGGGCAGAGAGCAGCGGTGGGCCCTGCCCTCTGAGGATGGAGTTTTTCAGACAGCAGTGCAGGTCCTCATGAAGCCTGTGCCAGGGACCGGGAGCCTGAGAGACAGCAGGAAAGTGCCAGCCAGTGACAGCAAGCTGCTCCCCACTGTCGGCAAGGCCCACATCAACACTCAACCTGCCGTTTTCCCCCGAACTGTTAGTGTTTCTAAAAGAAAGACAAAGAAAAAGAAGTGTTTAGGGCATAAATTTCTATAGAAGTGGCTATGTTGGCGGTAGAGAGGGAGGGTGCAGGACAGGAAGGAGCGTAAGGCCGCCATGCAGACCCTTCCATTTATACGTGGTTTTCTACTGACGAGTCACCCTTGCATTTGTCTCATGGAACTGAACTGCCCTGCGAGTTTGACAGACAGAAGTTATAATCCCCAGTTTGCTGCCACTAAAGATGCTGGTGGAGAGGTGAAGTCCTTCTGTGCTGTGCAGCTGAGGCCAGCCCCTCACTCCTGGGTCCCGCCTGAGTTCCCTCTCTAATCCATGATGCCCTTGATAAACACATCATCTCACATGTCCTTCCACCAGCCAGGCTTTGTTCAGCCCTTAAGTTCTGTAATTTATATTCAAAATAACCGTACCTGTTTTGATAGTCTACACAAAAGATGACGCATCAGCTCCCTCGGAGCTGTGATGCAGCCTCTCACCAGCCTCCCTTACCCCAGGCTCAGGGCTCTTCCTCCTCTAGACCGAGGTGAAGAGTCACACTGAAGGGTGGTCTGGAGACGAATTGGGAACAGTGTGTGTGATGGAGAGCAAGGGGCGTTGTCCGATGAATGGCTTGTGAACCAGAAAAACCAATGTAACACCCCCAGGCAGGGGCGGTGTGGGAGAGAGGAGAGAGGGTTGACGTGAAGTCAGAGCTGGCAAGTGGCTGAGTCTTGCTTATTCTTTTTCCTGGAAAAGAAGACTTCATTTCCTCTTCTGTCAAAGGAATGTGATTATCTTATGGGACTGTGTTTTGAAGCTCAACGAAGAGCATCTATTTTAAAACTCTATGTAAACTATAAAGTGCTACGGAATGGAAGAGACTGGCACCCAAGCAAATGACATTTTTTCCCAAATCCCTGGAGGGATAGCTCTAGCCAATTATATTTAGTTATAACTTGCGCCCACAGGCACTGTTAAAGCCCTTGTTTCCCAGATATGATTAGATTCTTGGAGATGGTTGACAGGTAGGGCCAGACCAAAGCCAGTGTAGCTCACTGACCACGGCCCATACCCACGCCTTGGCAGGGCTGTTCCCCAAGCACATTGGGTGTAGCCCTGCACTTGCATAGCAGTCAGTACTGTGGATGACAACTTGTATAAGCAATAATGCTTAGTCTCAGAGATAGGTCCCTCTGCCCATAGGTTCTGCCTCAGGCCACTGGCAGCTCCTGGGTTTGAACACTCCCTGGTGCAAGCAGTTTACAGCTCCAGGTGTCCCCTGGGGCTGCTCCAGGCCTTCCCAGAATTTTCTCGTCTTACTTGTCATCACAAGATACTCACTCCCAGACATATGTTCTACTTGGCCTCAGAGGGATCCATGAGGGATTTTCACCTGTAACTCATCATCTTTGACTCTTAAACCTACAGAAATTGACTCTCATTTCCCTCACCTAGCTGCCATATTCATCCTAACCGCCCTCCAAATATTCCTCACATCGAAGCTCATCTCCCCATAAATGCCTCCTCTTTCCTCCTTGCCTTTACAAGGCTATGGCACCTCTCTCGCTGGGAAATGGGTTTCCCACCAATCCCAGGAGCCAGCATTCATTCATTCCACCATGTTTATCGTCTCCCCTTCTGTGTGCCGGGTACGATTGTAGGCACCTGGAGTACTTCAAACAAAAGCTCCCTTTTCATGAGCTGGCGGTCTAGGGTCAGGATAATAAGCCCATGAGCAATTCACGGAGTATAGAAAACACGGAAGTCATAGTCCATTGAAAGCTGGTAAGTGCTTTGGAAAAGGAATAGTGTCGTGTAAGGGGGTCGGAGGTGCTAAGAGGCAGTGAGGGAAGGTGCTATTTCAAATAAGATGGAAGTGAGGAGTTACCCATGCAGATACCTGGGAGGAGGGCTTTGGGGGCAGGAGGAACAGCTGTTACTGGTGCAGAATGAGCAGGGGAGACGGAGAGGGGAGGGGACCAGAGAGGGGGAGCAGATTTTGGCTTTTATGCTGAGCAAGAAGGGGAGACACTGGTGCCTCTGAGAAGAGGTGTCCCCTAATCTGACTTACATTTCCGAAGGCCGATTGGCTGTCTATAGGAGTCAGGGTGGAAGCACCACACCAAGTAGAAGGTGCACGTGATTACCCAGGGGGGAGGGGACCGAAGCCTGCAACAAAGCAGCAATAATAGAGGTGGTGAAAAGGGTCCAATTCTCAGTCTGTTTTGAAAATAGAATGAACAGTATCTCCTGACAGACTGGATGTGGGAGTAGGAGGAAGAGGTGGCCAGGATGGCTGTGAGGTTTGGGCCTAAGCAGTGGGAGGATAGAGCTGGTATGAACCGGGAAAGACAGGAGGTGGAGCACGTTTGCATGAGGAACTCATTGGGAGGTGTCTATTTCACCTCCCAGTGGGGATGGCAGGTAGACAGTTAGACACACAGTCTGAGGGTGGGGCTTGGGGTTGTCAGCATATAGGTAGTATTCAAAGCCATGACAGTGGTGAAGAGCTCCCAGGGCTGAGTGGGGCGGGGCCTCCAGCAAGAGGAGGGCGGGACGTTTTGCGCTCAGAGCCAGTCTGAGGTTCACTCTCTGCTCCCTCTGGGAGATGCTTCTGACCACTGCAGATTGTACCTAGAGGGCGATCAGAAGTCTCCACCATGTGGAGCTGTACTGGATCCTGCTTCCTCCCGAGGCCTTCCCTCGTTCTCAGTCAGAGGCTTCCTCCCTCCGTGTCCCCTGGGAGGTCCAAGTGCAGCATCTTGTCACTCTAAGGAAGCCTTCTGGTGTTCCTTTATTTCATGGGTCTGAAATATATTTTCCAGAGGGAAAAGCCTGAGACATAGGCCCTGTGATTGTTAATGGAAGTTCCTAGAGCATCAGAAACTGCTCCCTAACATCCCAAGTTGAAATCAATTTGGGTCCCTGGTCATTCAACACCTTTCCCAACACTGTTCTTTATCGTTCTGTATTTTGATTATTGCACCATAGAAGTGCTGAGAGGCCTGGATTCTTGCATTATGGATACAGAACAATATTCCCAAATTGCAAATCAAGAAGCCTGTGTTCTGTTTCCAGCTCTGGCACTA